CACAAACAACATGGTACTAGATTATTTACTAGGATCTAATTCATAATTTTTCAATTTTTAAAAAAATGGAACTAAATTGGTTTTTTTTGTGCATATATATATATATATTCCTTGATTGTGAATATAATTAATATTTGAAAAACTTGGAATTGCAGGGACTTGGAGCGCAAGGGTGGTTTGGATGCTCCTACTTGTTTTTAATCACAATATGCACGGCATCAATACTTTTGAATGTAATCTCCTAATTTTTTGGGGAATTTTTTATACTTTGTGTAGCCTGTTATATATGTGTACATGGAGAACTTTAGAGCTAATGCAAATTTTTATAAAATGTGTATGAAATTAATTCTTTGTACAAATATACAAAATTCCATAATTAAATACTGAAAGGCCTGACTGCTGCTGACTTAAATTGAAGTTTCTGTGTGTATACCCCTCCCCAACTTCTAAAGGACGTATTGGATTGGATTGATCAAAGTAACATTCATCATGGGCCGAGCTAGACTAAAAAAATTTATAAACACCGGAGTCCAAGTTGCATCCAAGGGTATTTTTTACTCATTTAATATTTTTTTATGCTCATTTAAAAATTTAAAAAACGTGCATAAAAAATATCAAATGAGCAAAATAAAAACTACCTTTGAGTGCACCAATCTCTGTGTGTACCCGAATGTATGTAAAAGGTGTTGGAGCTAGATCGAAATATATCCTAGAAAAATATCGATTTAGCCATAAAATTAAATCAAAGTAAATTTAGGTCGGGCATGCATGTAACCAGCCACACAATGCAACCCCAAATGTTTCCCGGAAAGATCGAGCACGACCACATTACGAGTTGAGAAATGGCGGCTCGAACCTGGCCGGCTGCTCATACTCATGCTCATGCTCATGCTCAACTCTAATCAAGATATTCTCGTATTACAAAGTTCAATCATCATTCTGTCTTCTGTGTTTCTAATAACTCAATGAATAAACTACCCAAAATTGTCAACTTTTATTAAAGTGTTTAACTGTGACTTCTGTTGTGATCAGCGAACATTACTAGTCCAACCAAATTAAGCAAACCGAGCCTATTAGTTGGCAGCCCTATTTTGCTAACATTCTTTGTATTATTGAGCCTATTGGGCCTCTACAAATCCTTAATCCCAAAGAAGTCATCAGACTTTTCATAATCGGCCCAGTAATATGTGAGATAATTTCGGTATCGACAACAAAAGGATGGTGAGTAGCTTTATAAATGAGTTGTTATTCTCAAAAAAAATTTATTAAACAAATACAGCGTACAATGTATAAGATCAATTTGTAATGAACTTATATAATAAAACATGTTAAATACCATATAAACATCTCACATCATCTCATATTGTGTATATATCTGTCTTTTGTATTTCACACGCGTTTTGAATTTGCACCTCATGAACAGACTCTAAACTCTAAAGTTCACAATAATCGTAACTTTTGATTGTTAAATGAGCTCTTCACAAATTAAAGTCTAGAGGTCTCTACAATTCCCCAACAACCAATTGTGCTCAACTTCAAAATTGGTTTAGACTAATCATGGATTCATGGCCATGTTGGTCGGCCACATAGAGCAACATATGTACTATGATCTTCTCAATTTCTCATGTGGTTATTAAATTTTTGAACAACTATATTACTCCTATTTTATAATTTGGGTTGGGTCACTTAATTAACCACCTTACACAATACTTTAAATATTGATTAGACTTAATGTTGACCCTGAAGAGGTTTTGATTATGATGTTGATGATAAAGCAAACTTCTATCTAATGAGAGTTTTCTAGTGTTTTGATGTTTGCAGAATGAGTAAACTCTAAGAGTTGAAGTGAGGTCTGGAACAATGGAACTTAAGAAGACTAAGGATGAAAAGTAAAGACAGAGGAAGAGTTCCAGAAAGAAGTTCTCTGAATAAAGCCGGATGGAACTACAAGGTGTTCCCTAATAATAACATATTAAGAGCTTCCTAACAGAAGCATGACAGCAAGTTCCAACAGGACTTGATATGCGAGTTCAATGTGATGCTGGAAAAAAATGACAGCAGGTTGTAATGACTTGGACTGCGGTTCCAATTGGAACTTGACCTCAAGAATCAAGAACCAATGCAGAGCTCGAGATATCAACCAAAGATGAACTTCATAACTTAGGTTGCATTAAAGATAAGTTTGTTATTCAAGATTGATGTAAATATATAATTGGTTGGTATTCATGGGACTTATTAGAAATCAGATAAAGCTTGGCAAGCTAATTAATTCGTAAAAGATTATCATGAGTTATGAAAAAGAATCTAATTGATTTTATCTTTGAAAATCTGTTTTACTTGGTTTTATCTTTTTCATATAAAACTCTATCTTTTATTAAAAACGAATTTGACTAAGAAAATGTTTTCTTAAAAACGAAATTAAGCTTACTTGATTTCTCTTTTAATATGATAAGTTTGAAATTCTGATTTATCTTTAACTTATCATTTTATCAAAACCTTACTTTGCTAGTTGATCATGTCTTCTATAAATAAGGAAGAAGTTCTTCAAAGTGAAGTGAGAGTTTTAGCGTGAAAACCGCTAAGTGCTTAAGAGTAAGTTTGCCAAAGGTTTAAGCTTTATCATTTTGAGTCGGGTTTCATGTGTGGCTTTCCAATTATATATTAAAGTGGGTCTTTGTGTTGTAATTGGTTTTGAGGGGTGAGTGTGAATTCTCTATAATTTGTTTATAGCTGTGAGTGCACAATGAGTGAGCTTAGAGTGTGAAGCTGAGTGTAGGTACTCCAGGAGTGCTGAGTGAGCCTAAGTGTGGTACTTAGGTTGGGTATGATAGGCTCATATTAGGTAGTAAGTGTCCGGGTAGGAACTTGTGAATGTAGCAGGCTTCCGGGTAGGAACCTGTGAGGTAGCAAGCTTACGGGTAGTGGCTTGTGAGTGTAGCAAGTTTCCAAGTTGGAACTTTGTGAGAAAGGTCCGTGTTTAATAGGTTGTAACTAGGAGTGTTTCCCTATTATAATGAAAGTTTGGTTTGCAAATCCCGGGTAGGGTCGAGGTTTTTCTTCTAGTTGGGCCCTGGAAGGTTTCCTCGTAAAACTTGATGTGTGCTTTAAGTTCCTTTTAAGTTTTGTTTTATATTCCGCAAAATATTGACCTAACTGATACCTACTGCAATTCCGCCCCCTCTCGTATTAGTTCATCTAAACTAACAGTTGGTATCAGAGCAGGTTCTCACTAAATACAAGCAACCTTGTAGAGTAAGTTTCTGCAGAGATGAATACACACTAGAAGCTTGAAGAAGGGACCTCGACCTAAAGACCACCGATGTTCAATGGCATGTTTATCCATATTGGAAGAACATGATGGAGATATTCATCAAGGCTGGAAACTACCAAGTATGGAGGGTCATTGAATCAGGCGACTTTGAGGTAACAAAACCAATGAGAAAAATGAGGTAATCCCTAAACCACTATCTGAATTTGAAAAGGAGGATTTCGAAAAATATAAGCTGAATGCATTAGCAGTGAAAATCTTGCACTATGGACTAGGACCTCATGAGCATAACAGAATCATGGGTTGTAAGTCCGCAAAGCAGATTTGGGATTTATTACAAGTAACGCATGAAGGAATGAATGAAGTTAAGCGTTCCAAAATTGACTTACTGATGTCAAGATATGAAAGATTTGAAATGCTACACAAGGAATCTATTCAGGATATGTTCTCTAGATTTACTAACATTGTAAATGAGTTGGAATCTTTAGGCAGGTTCATACCCATTGATGATCAGGTACGAAAAGCTTTCAGAAGTCTTCCTCAGGATGAACGATGGAGAGCTAAGGTAGCAGCATTACAAGAATTATTAAAGGGATTATTTCAAAAAGTTTTCGCCATTATTTTCCTTCGTTTGCTTCTTTGGTTACTTTTTTATAACATCTCATTTTTAACATCTCACGTGATTGTTTTAGTTTCCTCTTCCTGTATTTAATTTTCTCCCTTTAAATTACTATCTCCCTCAACCTCCACCATTAAAGTGTTGTACATTGAAAAAAAAAAAACAACAATTTGGCCTATCTTAAAATCTGATTTTGAAATTGCTTTTTGAAGAATTAAGTATTTTAAAGCATTTTGTGGGCTTGCATGGTATTAGAAATAGCCTTTTTATCCTAAAATTTAGAGGAACAAAATGATTTTCTTTTATTTATCAATTTAGTATTTGACTAAATGGAGAGGGAGAGGTAACTAAATCAATCACATGAGATCGATATATTAAAAAAAAAAAAAAAAAAAAGTAATTGATGAAGCGAACAAAGGAAAATAATAGTGAAAACTTTTTGAAGGAATTCGCTTTAATGGTGAAGGTTAAGAAGTGTTTAAATGAAAATATTTAATAGAAGTAAAGGCTAACTTAGTCATGCGTAATGGGAAATCATGTAAGTTTAAAAATATTTAAACAATAATAAAATAATGAAGATTCCACTTTTCCCATGGAATCTTAGTTTATTGGTGTCATTCATGTTGTTATGTGCACCCAAATACATAGTTTGTGATGTAGACCGCACTCTTGAAAGGTTGTGCTGCTACATGCACCTTTGTAATAGTTGGTGTTGTTGCAGCCAATTTTTCCTATTATTTTTGGTGCAACTAACGAAGCTTTGTGTAAGTATCACTAATACAAAAACATGAAAAGAAACCCCTTAAAATTGGCCTAAGAAACCACTTAAGAGGGGGTCTTAAGCTCAGAGGTCTCTTAGGTTAAGAAACCACATTTTTTAGGGGGTTAGTTTGCTCAACTTAAGAAAAGGGGTATCTTATGTACTGCTAAAACTATTCTATAATAACATTAAAGAAATCACCTTTTAGAAAAAAGGGGATTTCTTTGGTTTAATTAAAGAAATCACTTTTAGTGAAAGGGGTTTCTTTGATCTGTTCATAATTCAAAAAAAATATATATATTGCAATATAACTATCAAGTACCTACAATGGTATGTAGGATAGCTATACCACAATATATACGATATTCCTACATATCACGCTCCCTTCAATTTTCAAGCTCTTTACTCCATATAATATTCATGCACAAATATGTAAAATTCTTTTACTTAATATTAATATAACTATAAAATTCTAAACACAATCAACAACATTTACAATAACTGATCTTCTAAAACCTCTAAAGAAATTTTATTTGTCTCCAAACAAAATTGACAAAGCTCCAACCATCCTTTGTCGAATATAAATTTTCACCTATAAAACACACAAAATTCACCAAATTAATTAATCATAGGTTACAATTTACAACAAATAAAAAGAAATGAATGTCGAAACTTAAATTAACTGAAAAACGGAGGAGTTAAAGCAGATAGCTTTTCAATTAGCTGCAAACGAAGAGATCAACCATATATGCATCAATTACTTAAAGGGGCTAAAAATTCTCAAGGCAGTTATAGCAGATTACACCACCATCATTAAAATAAAAAACTAATGGGCATGATACACAATTGGAACTGCAAGTCTGCAACAACTGAATTAGGAAATTAAACAAAGTTATTGTTAATGAGTAGTTTCATAATAACTAAAGACTTAGCGTACAATTTTTTGTTGAGTTCGTTATCTTTCCTCCACAGTTCTTTTATTCAAATTTCAAAGTTTATACTTCTTCATCCTATTAATTTAGTTGTTGTTTCAACAATTACCCAATAATTCAAAAACAAAATCAAGCATGCATACAACAATTCTAACACATTCACATCAAATAAGGCTAATCAACTCCAACCAAACCCATTCCAATTCCTTGAACAAACAGCATTAATTCACAATTTATGAACTTCCATCGATCAAATAAAAAAGCATCAGATCTGAAATTTAAATTTAAAAATAAAAATAAAAAAAAGCTTACTTTAAACCAATTGAATGTGTTCTTGTTGCAGGATTAACACAGTTAGTTGGCTGGGAACCAGTTTCTTCTGCCATTAAACTTGATAATTTGAAATCTGAAAATTAGAGAAATTTGATTTAGGGTACTTCAATAAATTACAGAAGTTAATCTAAAAACGAAATTAAACAATTTAAAAACACAAATTACGAAATTAGACACACAAAATCGAAATATTCAGAAATGAAATTGAAAAAAAAAAACGAATTACAATAACAAATTGATAACATTTATCTATGAATGCTCAAGCTCAACACATTTACCTATAAAGCTCGAGATCCGCTTCAATGAGAGCTAGAGGACGCTTCAATAGAAGAGAGATTAGAACTGTAAGAGAGGGAGAAGAGAGATGAGTGAATGGGGACGGTGGAGGCGACTGTGATTCATGGGGGTGGATGGAAGATAACTGGTATGATAATAGGGTTAGAAATAGGTTTTTTATTTTTTATTGTTTTAATTTGAAGATGGGTTAGAAATAGTTTTAGATTGATATTCCGTATAAGAAACCCCTTTTCATAAAAGGCAGTTCCTTAAATAACACTAAATTTATATAATTAGATAAGGAATCACATTTTTTCAAAAAGGGTTTCTTATAACTTGTATAAGAAACCTCTTATTAGAGAAAATAGGTTTCTTTTATTAAGGAACCCCTTATCCAATAATTGTGGTTTCTTATCATTGGTTCTTTATCCATATTTTGTAGTAGTGTATTTTACTGACCTTATGAGTGGGGAGTTCGAAATGAGCATGATGGGTGAGCTGAACTTCTTTCTTGGTCTGCAAATCAAACAAACTGAGAAAGAAATAATGATTCATCAACAAAAATATGTAAAGGAACTCCTAAGGAAATATAAGATGGAAAGTTCCAAAACTAATCAAACATCTATGGGAACTTCCATTAGACTGGATGAAGACTCAACTGGAACCAGCAAAGATCACGATGTACCGTGGTATGATAGGTTCCTTGTTATACTTAACTGCTAGTAGACCTGACATATCGTTTAGTGTAGGGTTATGTGCGAGGTTCCAAGCAAATCCAAAAGAATCTCACCTAAAAGCAGTCAAGAGAATACTGCGGTACTTGAAAGAAACTGATGACTTATGCCTCTACTATCCTAGAAGTGAGTCAATTGATTTGGTAGGGTACACTAATGCTGATTATGCAGGTGATCTAGCTAACAGAAAGAGCACATCAGGTATGACTCAATTCCTTGGTCCGTGTTTAGTTTCTTGAGGTTCTAAGAAGCAAAACACGGTTGTCTTATCCATAGCAGAAGCTGAATATGTAGCTGCCGCTACATGTTGCTCACAAATGCTATGGATAAAACAACAAATACTTGATTTTGGTCTAAAATTTGATTGTGTTCCAATTTATTGTGATAATACTAGTGCTATCTGTATATCGAAAGATCTAGTGCAACACTCTAAGGTTAAGCATGTCCATATTAGACATCATTTTCTTAAAGATAATGTGGAGCAAGGCAATATTAAGTCATAATTTTGTTCAACTGAAAATCAAATTGCTGATATTCTAACTAAGCCTTTGAGTAGAGAAAACTTTGAGAAAATGAGACTGGAACTTGGGATGATCAAGCTAAATTGATTGCAACTGAAGTTCCCAGATATGGCGTTGTTGATTACACGACCAATAGAAGAAATAAAACATTTATCACAAACTTGGTGTGATAAGCATAGCGGAAATGTCACCGTTGGTAAATTTTTGGAGGTCAGTGCATTTAACACTTATTAGACCGTAAATAATTTTTAAGTTAATGTAGACAGGTATGTGACTAGTTCCTGGTTAATCTTGTTTAAAATTTTTCAAAAATTATCTTTTAGAAAATAAAGAGTTTTTTTAAAAGATAAATATTGAATTTGAAAATCCATCTGGATAACTATTTCAAAATCAGATAAATTCATTGTTCCTAAAGCCTAACTCTTCAATTCCCCTTACACCGCCTCATTAATTTACCATCTCTATAAAAGTGCACCCAACCACCTCTTTTACTCATAGTCAAATCAATTCACTTCCCAATAAACCCTCAACCACAAAAATTCTACAGCTAAACCACACTCAATCATGGAGGAAGAAAACCCTAAGACCCACAATGAAAATTCCCCATCCAAAGCCCACAACCAATTGATATGTTAATTCCAGAACCAGCCAATGTTACCCATGAAATTCCAAACTCAATTACCTCCGAACCCAAAAATAGCAAGCCTAAAGCTCTAGAAGAAACCGCAACTTCCTCTATCGCTGATCTACCAAATATCCTCCATCGGGTCACAGAATGGAAGAAAAGAAAGGCATAGAAAGCTGGAAAGACTCTTAAAAAAGAATTGGAAGAGATCGAGGGCTTCTCTAATGGGGAAGTCGAAGGAAAGAAGGAAGATTCTGAGGGGGAAGAAGATCAAAAAGCTCTGGAGAAACAAGTTGAAAGATATGTCGTAGGCTATAAAATTGATCTTGCATGGTGTAGAAATGTCAAGTTTCTAGAATTCTAGACCTAATTAAGTTTCAGGGGGTGGGAATTCACGTTTTCGGTTAAGGCAAAAAACTACTTATACCCGTTGGCCATGGATGAATTCTATAAAGAGCGTGTATTTGATAATGGTGTTTGTACAAGTAAAGTAAATGGAGTAAAAGTAGAATTTGATGCTGAAAGACTTGGAACTCTGTTATAAGTTCCTTGTGTGGGGTTTGAGACGTATATGAAGGGGGTAGTAACTGTGAAGGTGGAAGGTCATGCTAAAATAGAAGTAATTTTCTTATTTATGAGGAAAGAGGGGTGTGAGCGTTATGAATCACAATGACTTGTCTCCGCTGCACAAATGGTTGTTTAATCTTGTGAAAAATCTTTAGTTCCTAAAACTCAAAATAATAATGAATTGTGCTACCTGGATATGGCCTTAATTTTCTGCATGTCAAAAAGAATTAAAATTAATTTTCATGCTTTGATGATGCAACACCTAGAGCACTGTGTAGAAAAGGAGATAAAAGTTGGACATGGTGCTATTCTTGCTTCGGTGTTTGAAGATCTAGGTGTGAAACTTGTGGATTTTTATGGTCGTATGAGGGAGAAGGGAGAGAATGTGATCAATGAAGAAACGCTGAAGGGGCTAAGCTTTCAAGTAGTGAAAGGAAAGTGTGTGAGGTATGAAGGGAAAAAAGGCGAAGGCAAAGGAAGAGAGTTCCCAACTGAGAGAGCCTGTCAGGAAGAGTAGAAGGCTTTCAGTAGGAACTCAGGGTAAACCCAGTGTCATTGAGCCTTTGGAACTCAGTGAAGGAGAAGAGGGGGCTAATGAGAAAATTTATGATCTATCAAACAGATTCATGCAGGTAGAAAGACAACTCTTGGAGATGACAGGGAAGATGAAAACCATGGAGAGAAGCATTCTGAATCAAGGGAAGGACTTTTAGAAGGCTATCTCTAATATGGAAGGAAAGCTGAAGAAGATGGAAGCAGACAACAAGGTAGATCTTGAGAAGACTCTCAAGATGCTTGAAGAATGATGATCAGCTTCCAATCCCTACAACCTATCCCCTAGCCTAATTTAACCCCCTTCCTAGTTTTATGGAACAATGTTATGTTTATTTTTGTACTTTTGAACTTATTTTGGTTTTCAGCACTTTCGAACTTGGTCTGTAATATTTTGATAACTCTGGATGGTTGGTTTTTGCTATGTTTATATATCCTAAAACTTTGTCTGTATATGAATGCATTGCTGGTTAAGAAAATACAAGTTAATTTGTGTGAAAGTGTTGACTTAAGAGAACTAGCCCGCGCTGTTTCCAGTTTCCCACACTCCATGAATTGCTTGTGGGGCAGTGATTAGATGAATAAAACTTTGAAAAGACAGCTTTTTGACAATGCCAAAAGGGGGAAAAGCAGGAGCAAACTTGGAGATGAAATTGTTCTAGTTCCAGTTAAGTAAGTAACAAAGGTTTCTCTTCCCTAAATTCGTTAATGTGCTTTCTTGTGATTTCTGTTTTGTTCATTTTTATTTCAGTTTGAGTGTTTGTTTGTTTGTTTCTTAGTTAGGCTATGTTTTGTTTTCTCTAAAAAATTAAAAAATTAAAAATTTGAACCTTCTGTTTTACTTTGTTATCCTTAGAAGTTTGCTCAATTTGTCATCATCAAAAAGGGGGAAATTGTTGACCCTGAAGAGGTTTTGATGATGATGTTGATGATAAAGCAAACTTCTATCTAATAAGAGTTTTCTAGTGTTTTGATGTTTGCGGAATGAGTAGACTCTAGGAGTTGAAGTGAGGTATGGAACAGTGGAACTTAAGAAGACTAAGGATAAAAAGTAAAGATAGAGGAAGAGTTCCAGAAAGAAGTTCTCTGAATAAAGCTGGATGGAACTACAAGGTGTTCCCTAACAGGAACATATTAAGAGCTTCCAACAGGACTTGGTTTGCGAGTTCCAATGTGATGCTAGAAAAAAATGACAGCAGGTTGTAATGACTTGGAGATTGGAACTTGACCTCAATAATCAAAAACCAATGTAGAGCTCGATATATAAACCAAAGATGAACTTCATAACTTAGGTTGTATTAAAGATAAGTTTGTTATTCAGGATTGATGTAAATATATAATTGGTTGTTATACATGGGACTTATTAGAAATCAGATAAAGCTTGGCAAGCTAATTAATTCGTAAAAGATTATCATGAGTTTATGAAAAAGAATCTAATTGATTCTATCTTTGAAAATCTGTTTTACTTGGTTTTATCTTTTTCATATAAAACTCTATCTTTTATTAAAAACGAATTTGACTAAGAAATTTTTTTCTTAAAAACGAAATTAAACTTACTTGATTTCTGTTTTAATATGATAAGTTTGAAATTCTGATTTATCTTTAACTTATCATTTTATCAAAACCCTAATTTGCAAGTTGATGATGTCTTCTATAAATAAGGAAGAAGTTCTTCAAAGTGAAGTGAGAGTTTTAGCGTGAAAACCGCTAAGTGCTTAAGAGTAAGTTTGCCAAAGGTTTAAGCTTTATCATTTTGATTTCAAGTTTCATGTGTGGCTTTCGAATTATATATTAGAGTGAGTCTTTGTGTTGTAATTGGTTTTGGGGTATGAGTGTGAATTCTCTGTAATTCGTTTGTAGCTATGAGTGAGCTTCTAGTGTGAAGCTGAGTGTAGGCACTCTGCGAGTGCTGAGTGAGCCTAAGTGTGGTACTTAGGTTGCGTAGGATATGGTCCTATCAGGTAGCAAGTTTTCGGGTAGGAACTTGTGAGTGTAACAGGCTTCTGGGTAGGAACTTGTGAGGTAGCAAGCTTACGGGTAGTGGCTTGTGAGTGTAGCAAGTTTTCGGGTAGGAACTTCTGAGAAAGGTTCGTGTTTAATAGGTTGTAACTAAGAGTGTTGCCCTATTATAATGAAAGTTTGGTTTGCAAATTCCGGGTAGGGTCGGGGTTTTACTTCCAATTGGGCCCTGAAAGGTTTTCTCGTAAATCTTGTTGTGTGCTTTAAGTTCCTTTTATGTTTTGTTTTATATTCCGCAAAAGATTGACCTAACTGGAACCTACAACAATTCACCCCTCCCTCTCGTAGTAGTTCATCTAAACTAACACTTAAAGAATTGAAACGTTTCTATTCCAATTGTGCTAACTAAAAGAAGAGGATGTAATGAAAGAT